AAAAAGGTAGCTTATGAGAGATTTTTACAGAGCAGAAGTGTTATAAGAAGAGCAGAGTATATGGAGAGTAAAAGAAAGGTGAAGAGAGTGGTGAGAGTGTGCAAAAGGAGAGCAGATGATAGAGTGGGAGAGGCACTGTCAAGAAATTTTGATGAAAATAAGAAAAAAATTTGGAGGTAAACAAGTTTAGATAGCCTTGGGAACAAATGGATTTTGTCAGTTAAAAACAGAGTAAGGGAGTTAGTAGATGGGGAGCTGGAGGTGTTGGGTAGATGGTGGGAATATTTTGAGGAACTTTTAAGTGTTGATGAAGAAAGGGAGGCGGTAATTTCATGCACTGGTCAAGTGTATAACATCTTTTAAGAGTGAAAAAGTGCAGACTGTGTGTGGGAAGAAAAGTGCATGATGCATTAAGTAGAATGAAAGGGGGTAAAGCAGCTGGAACTGACGGGATCAAGACAGAAATGTTAAAAGCAAGGGAGGATATAGTGTTGGAGTGGTTGGTATTTTTGTTTAATAAATGTATGAAAGAGGGGAAAGTACCTAGGGATTGGCAGAGAGCATGTATAGTCCCTTTATATAAAGGGAAGGGGGACAAAAGAGATTGAAAAAATTATAGGGGAATAGGCTTACTGAGTATACCAGGAAAAGTGTATAGTAGGGTTATTATTGAAAGAATTAGAGGTAAGATAGAGTAGGATTTCAGATGAGCAAGGAGGCTTTAGAGTGGGTAGGGGATGTGTAGATCAGGTGTTTACATTGAAGCATATATGTGAACAGTATTTAGATAAAGATAGGGAAGTTTTCATTGCATTTATGGATTTAGAAAAGGCATATGATAAAGTGGATTGGGGAACATTGTGGCAGATGTTACAAGTACAGTGGTCCCTCGTTTTTCGTAGTTCTCGGGAATCATAGATTTCGGAAATCATAGGGATATTTTCATATAAACATGGGCTCGCTAATCAAAGGTTGACTCGCGAATAGTAGTTCATCCGGGACGCGTACGCACGGTGTGAGCCGGGGCGGCCTCCCTACCCAGCCAGTCTGGCATTGTTTACCAGTGAGCAAAGGTCCCCTCACGTGCTCCTACGAAATATTTCATAATATTCCACTCATTTTAGTGCTTGCAGGTACTAAATAAGCTACCATGGCTCCAAAGAAAGCTCCTAGTGCCAAGCCTGTGGTAAAGAAGGTGAGAAATACGATTGAATTTCAGAAAAACATCACTGAACAATATGAAAGTGGCACAAGTGGAAAGATTTATGGAGAAACATCACCCTGACAAGGTTGTTGCAAGCCATGTTGGCAACATGTACAGTGACAAAGTCTTGGGCCATTTTAGGGAAGTGTTAGAGATGCCAGAAACAGAGCTCTCTCCACAGATATTTTGCGAGACAGGACTCCAGTGACAAGCTGGTCCTAGTGGCATTAAGAAAAAGAGAAGAGAAGCAACCCCAGAAAAGCAATTGGTACCTGAGGTGTTGCTGGAAGGGGATTCCCCTTCCAAACTGTAAACAATCCAATCTCTCTCCTCCTCCAGTCTCCCGTACACTAAGAAGAATCTCCAATAAAGGTAAGTGTTAGGCTGTTAATGTTTCATTCATCATTTCCCATTGTATTGTTTATGTACTACATCTATATTTCATGTAAATAATTTTTTTGTTTTAATACTTCTGGGTGTCAGGAACGGATTAATTGTATTAACATTATTTCTTATGGGGAAAATTGATTCGAAAATCGTAGATTTCGAAAATCGTAGATTTCGATAATAGTAGCAACTCCAGGAACGGATTAACTACGAAAAACGAGGGACCACTGTACATGGAATAGGTATAGGTTACTAAATGCTGTAAAGAGTTTTCATGAGGATATTGAGGCTCAGGTTAGGGTGTACAGAAGAGAGGGAGATTACTTCCCGGTAAAAGTAGGTCTTAGACAGGGATGTGTAATGTCACCATGGTTGTTTAATATATTTATAGATCGGGTTGTAAAAGAAGTAAATGCTAGGGTGTTAGGGAGAGGGGTGGGATTAAATTATGGGGAATCAAATACAAAATGGGAGTTGACATAGTTACTTTTTGCTGATGATACTGTGCTTATGGGAAATTCTAAAGAAAACTTGGAAAGGTTAGTGGATGAGTTTAGGAGGGTGTGTAAAGGTAAAAAGTTGAAAGCGAACACTGATAAGAGCAAGGTGATGAGGGTATCAAATGACTTAAATAAAGAAAAATTGGATATCACATTGGAGAGAGGGAGTATGGAAGTGAATGTTTTCAGATATTTGGGAGTGGATGTGTCAGCAAATGGGTTTGTGAAGGATGACGTTAACCATAGAATTGATGAAGGAAAAAAGGCGAGTGGTGCATTGAGGTATATGTGGAGACAAAAAATTTTATATATGGAGGCAAAGAAGGGAATGCATGAAAGAATAGTGGTACCAACTCTCTTATATGGGTGTGAAGCTTGGGTTGTAAATGCTGCAGCGAGGAGGCAGTGGAGATGTCTGTCTCAGGGCAATGTGTGGTGTGAATATCATGCAGAAAATTCAGAGTGTGGAAATTAGGAGGTGTGGAGTTAATAAAAGTATTAGTCAGAGGGCTGAAGAGGGGCTGAGGTGGTTCGGTCATTTAGAGAGAATGGATCAAAGTAGAATGACATGGAGAGCGTATAAATCTGTAGGGGAAGGAAGGCGGGGTAGGGGTTGTCCTTGAAAAGGTTTGAGGGAAGGGGTAAAGGAGGTTTTGTGGACGAGGGGTTTGGACTTCCAGCAAGCGTGCATGAGCATGTTAGATAGGAGTGAATGGAGACTAATAGTTTTTGGGACCTGACGAGCTGTTGGAGTGTGAGCAGGGTAATATTTAGTGAAGGGATTCAGGTAAACCGATTATTTTTATACAGCCAGACTTCAGTACTGGAAATGGGAAGTACAATATCTGCACTTTAAAGGAGGGGTTTGGGATATTGGTAGTTTGGAGGGATATGTTATATATCTTTATATATGCTTCTAAACTGTTGTATCTGGGTGCCTCTCCAAAAAAAGTGATTATGTGTGAGGTGAAAGTGTTGAATGATGATGAAAGTATTTTCTTTTTGGGGGATTTTTTTCTTTCTTTATGGGTCACCCTGCCTCAGTGGGAGATGGCAGACTTGTTGGAAAAAAAAAAATGGTATTTGCTGGATAACAGCCCTTGCTCAATGGTATCTCACCTTAAATTGAAGTTTTTTTCAGAAAACAACCCACACATGGAGCAAGGCTTCCTTGAAGTAATACTATTCCTCATAAGTCATTTATATAAATTAATAACAATACTAAGGAAGGTTCTACAATGATCCTTGTTGGACCCCAGTGACATTCTATCTTGAGGGCATTTTTCTTCTTATATCTGTTATCATTTTTCTTTCAGACAATAAATATCTCACCCATTGTAATAGTTTGCCTTTTTGTAGTTTCAAAATTAGCCTTTCATGGAGGCTCCATTAAAAATGTTTTTAGCAATTCAAGCACTCTGCATATATATTTCTTTTGTATATGATTACTGTGACTACCATAGTAATTCAATAGCCTTGAGATGCAGCACAGGATTTTGCCGATCTGCAACAAAATTATTTGCATTAGGTTTTTACTCTTTACAGGATGTTACTGTAGTTACTCTTCTCTAAATGCTTTCACCAGAATTTTTACAACAGGCCATTCCCTATTACTTTCTTTAACAATTAGCCAAATGTGTGCTATTTCCCTTTTGTTTGCCAGTTTACTATTTTGTAATAAAGTGACAAAAATAGTTCATCTGTACATTTTTTCAGCCCCACAGTGACTGAGTCACTAACTTAAAAGGAAATAGCCAATGTGATACAAAAATATTGTGAAGTCCATATGGTTTTAGTGGTTTGCTGTTGTCTGTATCAAACAAGCAGTTCCTTTACTTTTTCTTTAGTTTATCTCAATAGATTCCATCTCATTTGGCTTGCTGAGGTTCAGGCTCCACTTTATTTCTTCCATGAATACACTCTGGAAGTTTATATTTAGTTAATCACACATTTCCTCCTCTACTTCAGCAACTCTATTATTGACTTTTATTCTCAAATTTTTCCACTAATTTTACTGATGACCTACATTATTCTTATTTTGCTTTTCATCTTTAATTTTTAAGCACTTTTAATAGATATGATTTTGACTTGCTTATTTCCATTAATTTTTAGGTTCCTCTTCCTTTCATATACTATACCAGTAAATTAATTTCTGACTTACCTGAATCTTAGTCAAGTGTTTACTTTAAAGCACTTTCATAATTTTAAGTTTCATCTTTCTTTTCTATGGTTTTTCAAATCAGTGTTGAATCTTAATTTATTTTGTCTATTTTTACATCTCTGAGTTGAAATATTTAATGTCATCGTCAGAGTCAAGTTTGTTGTCATCCTCTTTGTATATTTTGTGTATGGCAATCCCTTGTAATTCTTTATTTTGTTCCATTTAAGGAATGTGCATATTTTGTACTTTACTGTCATAGGCCAGCATACTTTCTTTTTTTGTAACCTAATCTATATTTCTTTCCTCTTCCTGGTCTAAGTCATTCTTTGCAAGTGTGTATGTGTGTGCATGTATATGTAATGTACAGAAAGACTTGGCAACCCAAGGTGTCTCACAAGAAGTGGACCTTTATGCAGTGTAAAATCAGGAATGAGGTTCACCTCCATGGAGGTTCTTGGAATTGTCAAGCATACACGTGCAGCTTGTGTATCAATCAAGTGTATATGTACATATGTGTATAACTTCCCAAAAAGCAAAAGTTAAAATACTGTACAGCACTATATTTAGTAGCAATACATTTCATTTAAAGAAAATATTTCTAATATACTACATAAAATGAACAGAAAAGTTCAGGAAAAAGTAGTGCACTCCACAGTAAAGGACAGAGGGTGATCATAAGTGTTAGCAAAAGAAGTTCCAAACTTAGTACTGTAATTCCAAGGGAAATCCCTTGTATTGTTTAGCTTACCACTCTCACGTTATCTGTATTTCTTATCCCAGCCTGTAATTAGACAAAATTTATGTTCACCTCATGACTTCTTTGCTCCACTACTACTACTTACACTTTAAATGATAAACTACAAAAAACAGCTCAAAGAAACTTTGGAGCATATACAACATATGGACACATGGAATACAAATTAAATACAAAATTAAGATACATAAATTTACATAGCCATATCCACATTACCATACTACATTACTGTATAAGAAAAACATAATCCAAAGGTCTCAGGTGGATTGCAGTTTTCTGCAACCAATTGAAATCCTGACTCACTACAATAATGGCTCAGCAAGCAAACATCACTGAACATTTAATAAAACAAAATATTATTAGATGATCGCTGTTACAATGTGGGATCTTAAGGGATCAATATCTTACCATTTAAAACTAATTAATTAAATATCTATCATAAAAGCAAAATTACCATTCTTAAATATTTAACTGTCTTGATATCTATTCTTTCATAATATATCCTACTTACAAATGACTATCTGATATGATCTGCAATACATAACAAAAATATCTACATCTATGTCAATCCTAATCTATTCCCAGCTAACAGGCTTTTCAAGAAAATCCTTGTACAGATTGAGTACCACATCCATCTGCATGAAAAACAATATTCTCTGAAGATGTATTTTTGTTCAGTAAATTGATCTATACTTTTTTTTTTAGACAAATGTTGATCACACTACACGTGTGAACATGCTACACATGTGGTTCATTCCATAACATGAGACTGACTATGAATCAACATGCATCATGAAATCAAAAGCAGGATATCAGTATCAACAGATAAGCTCATTTACAACTTTCTCATTCAAACTGTGTCAAACATAGACTATCAATAGAGGAACTAATTTATGATTTTCTTTTAACTTACTTTCCTTCCTCCACTAAAAAAAAAAAAAAAAAAAAAAAAAAAGTAGCAATAAATCAAGTATGTTCCTCTTGAAAAATTAATTCATTTTTATTTTAAACTTACATAATTTTCCAACCAACATTTTTTAACAGTTCTTCCTTATTCATGCCTGCTTATTAAAAATTATTTCAAGTATAAAACTGAAAAAAAAATTTAATTAAAAAGCTAGCTCCTTATTCTAACTTCTATATTTGTTCCTAATGTGGATTTCATTCTCTTTCATTATTATACTCTATTCAAAAACACATTAAACCTTTATGGGTCATATAGATCTACTCTTATTAAAAGGATGCATTATGTAGAATCTGCTTCAGATATATTAACTACCTTTCTGAATTAAAAAGGCATGAAGCAATGAATTTTATTTATACAAAACATTAATCCTATAGGGGTTATTCTGCTAAGCATGAGGCAGGTGCACTACCTTCATAGGAGTTTTAACATGCTAGTTTACCTCAAATGTAGGTGCAGCAGTTGGCATTTGCCTTCACATAATTACAATAGTATATGTGGAATGAACGAAATCTGGTTCAGCAAGCATATACAATGCTTAGGTAGTATAAAAGAAACGTGAAAGAACACAAGCAGAAGAAAAGGAAAAAACGACAAAGGTAAAGAATTCTAAAATAACATTAATTGAAGAGTAATGTGAAACTTCTATTGAAAAAAATATTAAAAAAATTTAATTGAACATCAATGAGGAAGTTTGATCCCAATTGGTTAAAATTCACTTTTTTAAATATGTATTCAAATAATTTCTTCCTATGAACAAAATCAAATAAAACATATGATATCCTAGAGATGTAATATATCCTAACATACTCTGCATTGTAATTTTGTAGATCAGCATGATGTACTGCAAATAATGTTGAAGAAAATACATACAAAGAACAAGCTCTTATTGGGATTACATTCCATTACTAAAGCTTTACCAAGTTGTGATTTGATAAAGAGCTAACACAGCCCCAATAAAAGCTTGTTTTAAGCATCTTGTCTTCAACATTGTAATTTTGTATATCTGGGTAATTTTTGTAAGGGAATTTTTTGGAATTTTTTTGATTTTAACAAAGAAAACCCTTAACCTATTTAAAATTAAACAACGAACTTTTTATCTAATAAAATTACTTTCCTATTAAAAACAAAAAGGGGGGGTTTCCCTGTTCCGTTGCATAATTTTTTTTTTTAAAAAACACAAATCAGTATAAATTTTTAAAAAAAAATAAAAACAAGGGGTCTGTGAATATTTTTATAATATACAAGCCTTTCCCCAAATTTAAAAAACTAGAATATAAAATTTTTTATATAACCCTTTTTCCCCAAAAGGGTTGTAAAAGTAACAAACTTTCCATGAAATTTAAAACACAAGAATGTGATTAAATTTAAAACCTATTGTACTTGGGAAAAAAAATTTAACCCTTTTTTTTTGTATTTTTTGTGATTGGGTTTAAAAAATTCCCCTTTACTGTTTTTTGCCCACTTTGAAAAAACTCAATTTTTAAATTAAGAAAATTTTTAAAGCAATTTATTAAAAATATTTGTACCTAAATGGGCTATATATATTTTTAACTATAAATTTTAATACCATACTGAAAAAAATTTCCCTTTTTTGCAAACATTTTATTTTTAAAAATTTCATAATTTTTTACAAAAATTTTTGTTACACTTATTTCCATTTCAAATTTTGGAAAGAAAATGGTTACACAAGAGTATTTTGGACAAATTAAAATTAAAGCTACAAACTGCTAGACATCATACAGCTGTATAGTTTGTTACATTACTGGAATGCTTAACATAACTGTCTAAAGAAAAGATTATTTTAAGTAACAAGAGTCTATATACTAAAACATCAGTGGATAGATTGACTCTCAAAACTGTTCTGACATTTCTAGTTAAAATAATGATTGGAGATGTAATACGAATAGTGGTGTCGATAAGTGCACGAGTAAGAATACTGATTGGAATCTGAATAAGAAGGTGGCATCAGATATACTGGGTAGTTTTTAATTCCTTTTTTTGATAACTTTTGCCATTTATTTCTTAATTTAAGACTTCTACAGCACATGCAAATATAATATGAAATATGGGACAAATATATAGTAACTAAAAAAACTAACCATGTACATGGAGAGTGCAACTGGGAGGTAGAATGAATAGTAAGCAGTCTTGTATTTCACAATAGCGTTGTAACGCTCCATTGTAAATTTACTAAGATTTGGTCTTTGTCCTGCTGGGCATGACAGAAGATCCAATGCTTGTCCCAAGGCCGTCTTTAATGTCATCTGAAAATAATGTTATTTATTATGCAGAATGAAATGAAACTCTCATCTCTATTCCGTTCCTGTTACATTTAGTGTAGTCAAGTATACATATACCCTGCAAGCTAATGAAAAAACAGGAAAACAATAGGTTGCATTCAACTACATGTATAAACATACAATACTGTATCTCCCATGGTGTTCCAAATTCCATCTGAAAAAAGGCCAAAAGCATTCTGCATGAATGAATGAATCAATTTATTTCATTGATTTAAGTGCAGTGGGATCCTGTATATGATATAATTTGGTCAAGAAATATGTATTTTTAAATTATAATTGTGAAGAGAAAATGTCCAGATTTTTTTATTCATATTTTCTCTTAATGCAGTAAAGAAAATAAACTTGTTAGCACAAAGATAAATACGAGGCATTTTGCAGCAGAAAAGAAGAAACACTAATTTCACACAATGGAGAAAAACTCAGGTGTGGGGAAGATCAGAGGTATGAAGCACACATTACCATGCTGTATTGTGTTATGGGGCTTTGAGCCTAACTTACAGACTAGAAGACATTATCTATACATTCTCATAAACAGACGAAACATTAAGGAAGTGATTCGTACACTAACCCAGATTTTGGTCATTGGTGCTTGCTCCTTTCTGCCGTGCAATGCCTCATATAATAAAGAGCCTTTAGTCAATGTCTGTCTCTATCACATGTCAGCTTACAGCCATTATACATATATATACGTATTTCACAAAGCATAAACAGACCTATGATTACTGTCAATGGTTCTTTCACCCCTGTAGTCCAGCCTGAGGCCAGAATGTGCATAAACCAAGTAGAAGCATAACAGAATACTGACAGATATGAGTGGGAGACGGCCGACTTGTTGAAAAAAAAAAAAAAAAAAAAAAAAAAAAAATGAGTGAATAATTAGCTTTATATTGTCTAGCTTTAACTAACTTCAGGAATTACCACAGAGAAACATGTAAAATTGAACATAAGATGCATAAAACATCAAATGTTTGTTTTAAAAAGACAAGCTATTTTATTGAAACAGTGAGTTTCAGGTAAAATGGTGTTTTATTTAAACACTGTTTTACCTGTAGATCAAGCTTTTTGAAGTCTATGGCTTGAAGACCTCAAAATAAAACGTCCAAACTGCTTATGTCTTCTGTTAAAGCACACGTGTAAACATTCAATTCACAACACAAAAGGCCCAGGTTCAATCCTGGTCAAGTCTTCTAACATCTACTGCACCTGTTCACTTAGTCCTCAATGGATGGCTGTTGTGGGTTACATCCTAGGAAAAGACCTAAGGACACCAATGAAAGTACGCCAAATATTGTAATCTTTTTCTTCTATATTTGTCACTTACACTATACAATAACAGACAGTGTACATATTCAAACTTTACTGGTCACATACATTTTACACCATTATATACAGTACTGTGATATAAAATGAGTTGACAAATGGGAAAGCAACTCTTCCTAAAATCTTTGTTTGCTTCATGAGTACTAACTGAATGAGCTTGGTGAAATGAATACCAACCCTGCTGACACCAGAACAATCAGTTCAGCTTGTATTCATCTGTGATAACTACATGGCATCTAGGAAAGCTGCAAAAAGAGTTCCATTATCATTATTCAGATACTCTAACTTTGTCTGAATTTTATATATGATGAAGCAGGTGGTTTATCTGTTTATCCAGGATGACTGCCAGTGCTGCTTGAGTAATATGCCAAAGACTACAAGTGATATAAATGGTGTACTGTAATTAATATAGATAAAACTCTTCCTTGTGAATCCAGGAAACATTCTTTACTGGTACCTGTCTCTTGTGAACATTAAAATGGTATAAAATACCGACAGGTTGTTAGGTAAGACACATATGCAACAGTTAGGTATCTTTATTTCGAAACGTTTTGCCTACACAGTAGGCTTCTTCAGTCGAGTACAGAAAAGTTGATAAATTAGACACGTGCAACTCTTGGGTATCTTTATTGAGGAAATGTTTTCCCACACAGTGGCTTCATCAGTCCATACATAGGAGAAACTTGAACAATAGGAGAATGAGGTAATCAGTCCCTCAACCTTGAGTCGATGTGTTCAGTCCATCAATCTTGAATAGATTCAAGTTTCTCCTATGTATGGACTGATGAAGCCACTGTGTGGCGAAACGTTTCCTCAATAAAGATACCCAAGAGTTGCACGTGTCTAATTTATCAACTTTTCTGTACTCGACTGAAGAAGCCTACTGTGTAGGCGAAACGTTTCGAAATAAAGATACCTAACTGTTGCATATGTGTCTTACCTAACAACCTGTCTCTTGTGCTACAAAGTAAATGGAACTTATAAGGCTGGCTGAAATCTTTATAGCTATATCCACTGTATACTGTTCATCTATAGCTCTTTACAGCCAACTACTTCATTTCCCTTCACAAATCAGGAAAGCATTCTGAATCAGTTCAAAAATCTAACTAAATTTTTGAAAGATGGTTCTTGAATTTCTTTGTGACATCTGTGGAACCTCTACATCTTCCTGGTTATCCTGCAAATGTTGCTACAAAACAATTCAAGCTCAACACATTGTTCTGGTATCAATATGGCTGGTATGCATTTTGTTAAGCTTTTTTTTTTCTTTAACAAGTCAGTCATCTCCCACCGAGGCAGGGTGACCCAAATAGAAAGAAAATTCCCAAAATGAAAATACTTTCATCATCATTCAACACTTCCACCTCACTCACACATAATCACTGCTTTTGCAGAGGTGCTCAGAACACAACAGTTTAGAAGCATATACATGTATGTATAAAGATACACAACATATCCCTCCAAACTGCCAATATCCCAAACCCCTCCTTTAGAGTGCAGGCATTGTACTTCCCATTTCCAGGACTCAAGTCTGGCTATATAAAAATAACCAGTTTCCCTGAATCCCTTCACTAAATATTACCCTGCTCACATTCCAACAGCTTGTCAGGTCCCAAATACCATTCGTCTCCATTCACTCCTATCGAACACGCTCATGCACGCCTGCTGGACGTCCAAGCCCCTCGCCCTCCCTTACCCCTTCCTTCCAACCTTTTCGAGGACAACCCCTACCCCGCCTTCCTTCCCTTACATATTTATGCGCTCTCCATGTCATTCTACTTTGATCCATTCTCTCTAAATGACCAAACCACCTCAACAACCCCTCTTCAGCCCTCTGACCAATACTTTTATTAACTCCACACCTTCTCCTAATTTCCACACTCCAAATTTTCTGCATAATATTTACACCACACATTGCCCTTAGACAGGACATCTCCACTGCCTCCAACCGCCTCCTCCCTGCAGCATTTACAACCCAAACTTCACACCCATATAAGAGTGTTGGTACTACTACACTCATACATTCCCTTCTTTGCCTCCATAGACAACGTTTTTTTGTCTCCACATATACCTCAACGCACCACTCGCCTTTTTTTCTCTCATCAATTCTATGATTAACCTCATCCTTCATAAATCCATCCACCAACACGTCAACTTCCAAATATCTGAAAACATTCACTTCTTCCATACTCCTCCTCCCCAATAAAAACTGCGAGACAGCACAAAAATTTAAAACAAACCTATTTTTTCAAATTTGCCAAATCTTTTTTTTTTTTTTTTGTAACACTGCACATAATATGCAAAACATTCCAGGAAATTTCTCTGAAATTATCGTATATCAGTTATACACTTTTAATTACAAGGGCAATTTTTTTTTCCCAACACATTGGCTGTCTCCCACAGAGGCAGGGTGACCCAAAAAAGAAACACTTTCACCATCATTCACACATAATCAATGTCTTTGCAGAGGTGCTAAGTAAGACAGTTCAGATGTCACTCCAAATGGCAAATATCCCAAACCACTCCTTTAGAGTGCAGGCATTGTACTTCCCAACTTCAGGACTCAAGTCCGGCTAACAGGTAATTTTTTTTTTTTTTATTATTTTTTAGACCAGGGTTTTAATCACTGAACCTCAGCAATGAGTCCCTCTTCTTACCACTGGGCAATGTGTTGTGTAAATATTATGTGGAGAATTCACAACTTGGAGATCAGGAGGTGCAGGGTTACTAAAAGCATTATACAGAGGCATGATGAGGGATTGTTGAGGTGGTTTGGACATTGAGAGAGGGTGGAGCAAAATAGGAAGACTTGGGGGTGTATAAATCTGTAGAGGAAGGAAAGTGGGATAGAGGTCACCCCAGAGGGTAAAGGAGGTTTTGTATGCAAGGGGCTTGGACATCCAGCAGATGTGTATGAGCATGTTAGATAGGAGTGAATGCAAATGGTTTTTTGGGACTTGATGAGTTGTTGGAGCATCAGCAAAGTAACATTCTGTAAAGGGATTCACAGAAATCAGTTAGCTGGACTCAAGTCCTGGAGGTGAAAAGTACAGTGCCTACATTTTGAAGGTGGAGTGGGGATATCTGGCAAGACAGTGATACATTAAATGATGATGAAAGCATTTCTTCTTTTGGGTCACCCTACCTCAGCGGCTAGTGTTAAAAAAAATTAAATGCTTCAAACCATCTACACTAGTTATATGATCATCTTTCTTATATATACATCTTGTTTGGTTTATATATCTACATTTTTGATGTCTTGAAAGTATAACAAATCTATACAAAAGAACTAAATATTACACAAGTCCTATTTAAAAAGGAATCTTGCACAATTCACACACAATATATTAGGTGAAAATATCTTGGAGTCAATTAGTATGTATTAGAAAACCACCTTAATTTTTGAGTAATGATTGTGTTATTAATACATACTTTCATTATAAAGCCTTGATGTAGGATACAGTACCTAAAAATTATTCTGTATTTTCAGAAAGCAACACTGTTACATTGTATAGGTTTAGCCACATACAGAACTGGTGTTTGCACAGTAACTAACCTCATGGAAGAGCTCTAGCATATCCATATAGTAAGGAGCATCTCGAAAGTGCTTTTGTAGAAGTTTGTATACCCCTGCTTCCAAAAGAATGGCATCATTAAAGGCTCCAAGTCCCAGGTTATCATTAAGGTACCAAGCAGGCTTTCCCCGTCGCATTTTACTTCCATCAATTATGTCATCTGCCACCAAGAAGAAGCTCTGGAGCTGCAAAAATAATAAATTCATGCCATAGCCTTTTATGAGCACATATTAAGGAAAATGACACTATACAAGAATACAAGTTAATTTTCTAAACATATACATTTGTGTTATAGAAATTGGCAGCAGACTGTGTTATAGCGTGCATGGAAAAGCTTTAGCATATTAGCTTAACCCTTTCAGGGTCCGTCCCGTAGATCTACGGCTTTACGTTCAGGGTCCAAACCGTAGATCTACGTCATGAGCTCAGCTCACTCTGATAAACTGTGAGTGGTACATTTGGGCCTAGATATGAGAGAATACATCTATGTGGTATGTGTGCATCACATAAAACAGATCCTGCAGCACACTGTGTATAATGAGAGAAAAAACTGAAATCATGATTTTTCGATTAAAACAGCGACTTTGCAGTGTTTTTTGTATGTTTTTTATAGTTGTATTTGCGATTTCTTGGTCTCATTTGATAGAATGGAAGACGTATTACAGAAATAGAGATGATTTTGATTGGTTTTAGCACTGGAAATGGCTTGAAACTGAGCTCAAAGTAGCAGAAATGTTAAATTTTTGCTGATATTCAAGAGTAAACAAACGACCTCACACGTCTAATATGCATTCACAAATATGGTGATGATATTTATACAATTATTACAGTATTGCATAACAGTAAATCTTCTATTTTTTCGGTGTGAATAAAAATTCATTATGTGAATAAAAAATCAAAATGGAATTTATTTGTAAAGCCTCAAAACGTAACTAATGAACAGAGGAAATGTTAGTTTAGTTCCAGGAATACCTACATTGTTTATTCTGGACCCTATTTTGAAATTGGAATATTTTGAACTTTGTGTTAAATTGGCCAAATTAACAATTTCCGATCACTTTAATTTGTAGTTGAAACAGTTGACTTGGTGATTTCTTGTGCTCAATCGATAGAATAGAAGTAATACTAGTGAAATAGCTAAGAGTTTGGTTGACTGGAATAATGTAATTGGCCTAAAATGGGAGTCAAAGTCGGCAAAATCGCCGATTCGTAAATATCGCCGACACATCAAAATTCGCAAGAGCATAATTTCGTCAATTTTCCATCAAATTTCATACTTTTTGTTTTATTACCTTCACAAAAAGATTCTCTACCATTTCATAAGAAAAAATAACAATTTTCTTTTTTTTTTAAATTCTTGGACACTGGGGCACCACTTCAGATTTGGGCCTTGGACCCTGAAGGGGTTAATGTGACCCTACTATTTTGCTGCCAATGTCCCTAGAGTGAAATACATGTAATTTGGGTGTGATTGGTGAAGCGACAAAGTCAAATGAGGTCCTTAGTCACTAGCAAGCACATGAGCCTTTAAGCATTTGTACAGTAAAAATAATCTTGGAATCCTGGCACTTTGTTGTTGTGAATCATACCCATATACATAAATGTACCTCCTGAGTATCCAATAGTTTTGTATTTTCCAATTCACCTTTTTGCTAGCATCTTTAACCAAGTATCTCTTCACCTTTTGGCTGTATCCCTAGCAAAAACACTACTTTGATCTGGGAGCTTGGCTATAGGGTATTATGACAATTTACAGTTGGCATCAGAATCCATAATTTATGTACAGTATTATGCAGTGATCCCTGAGTGGAACTCCTGGAGCCATGACTTGTGTGTGCTACTACTGTAGCACACTGTCCGTCTCCCACCAAGGTAGGGTGACCCAAAAAAGAAGAAACATTTTTACCAACACTCACTTCATCATTGTCTTGCCAGAGGCATGCCAATACTAGTTCAGATGCCCCTCCAAAATTGCAAAAATCCCCACCCCTTCTTCAGAGTGCAGGCACTGTACTTCCAACCCAACAACTCAAGTCCAGTTAACCCTTTGGGGGTTTCGGACGTACTAGTACGGCTTACGACCCAGGGATTTTGACGTACTAGTACGCCTAAATTCTAGCGCCCTCAAATCTAGTGAGAGAAAGCTGGTAGGCCTACATATGAAAGAATGGGTCTATGTGGTCAGTGTGCGCAGTATAAAAAAATCCTGCAGCACACAGTGCATAATGAGAAAAAAACTGACCGTGTTTTTGGATTAAAACAGTGACTTTGCACTGTATTTTTGTATGGTATTTATTGTTGTATTCTAGCTTTCTTGGTTTCATTTTATAGAATGGAAGACATATTACAGAAATTGAGATGATTTTGACTGGTTTTACAATGAAAAGGACCTTGAAATTGAGCTCAAATTAGCAGAAATGTTCGATTTTTACCAAAGTTCAAAAGTAAACAAATCATGCTAAGCGTCCAATACACAAACTGGCGAGTCTAATATTCTTTCACAAGTGCGCTGATATTATTTATACCATTTCTACACTAATGCAGTAGTCTGCATAACAGTAAATCTTATTTTTTTTGTAAGAATAAAAATTCAAAGTGGAAAGCCAAAGAAATATAAGAGGGGCCTGGGGATGTGACTAACGAACAGAGAACTTGTTATTTTAGTGCTAGGAATGTCTTTCTTGTTTATTCTGGACCCTATTTGGAAATTGGCATCTTTTGAAATTTGTGTGAAATTGGCAAAATTGCTAAATTCTGACCACTTTATTGGATAGTTGAAATCGGTAAATGGGTGGTTTCTTGTACTCATTTGATAGAAAAATTGGAGTTCTAGCGAAATAGTTATGATTTTTGTCGACTAGTACACTGAAATTGGCCAAAAATAGGGCTCAAAGTGGGCAAAATCTCCAATGCATAAACATCGTCGAGACGGCTAAGTTTGCAAGAGCATAATTCCGCAAGTTTTCCATCAAATTTCATACTTTTGGTGTCATTATGATCGGGAAAATATTCTCTATCTTTTCATAAGATTTTTTTTTTTTTTTTTTTTTTTTTTTTTTTTTTTTTTTTTTTTTTTTTTTTTAATTTGGCCGACCCTGAGAACAAGTCTCTGAGAGGACCTGCCGACCCCCAAAGGGTTAACCAATTTCCTGCAAAAATGTGCCGCTATCCAATTTTGGCATTAGCTGATGCCACCATTACCTGAGGGTCCACTGTATATATCAGTGGTATTCATTGCGTGGCTCGCGATGACTCAATTCATGGCTCTCGAAAAATATATAAATTAATGAAAAAAAATACATAGAAAAATAATTTTTCAAGTAAGATACATATTTTCATGAGGTGAGATGGAAGACGAAGTCACAGTAAGAGATAACATTCTAACATCCCTACCCTAGTCGTACAGAAATCATACGTGTCCACTACGGGAAACTAATCAGGGACACGTCTAGCTCTAGGAGTCGGTGGTCTCGCTGAATCAGTTGAGTTCAAGCTTTCGGGGGAGACTGGATATATTTTGTTACTCAAGGAGATTTATGTTTGAAAATAGGCAACAGATATTTGAGACTGCGGCAACATATATGAAAGTAACGAATTAACTGTTGCTGCTTGTGGAAGCTAGTTGTGATGGGCTAGTTTTACTTGAAACCAAAGTGCAGTCAAGTAGTGTCCGTTATGATGGATCGATTTGTAGTTAAACTAGCACACTTCCGCTCATCACAGCATTAAGTAAATTTGGTCTTTATTTTGCTATTAATAACAAGATATGCAGGCTAATATTACCATGTCTAATTTTTCTCATTTACTATATTGCACTAGCAGCTCAGTACTACTTAATTTAGTTGAGTTACGCTAACTTGCAGTAGCTGCGGCTCTCTCAATCAATGTGTTTAACCGAAGTGGCTCTCTTGCAAAAATTAGCGAATAACACTGGTATATGTACATACACTTCCTCCATACTCCTTTCTTCAAATCTGATATCCAGTCTTTCATAGTCTAGCTTATTTGTTACCCTCATCACCTTGCTCTTTCCTATGTTAGCTGTTAATTTCTTTCCTTTACATACAGTTCTAAATTCATCCACCTTTGCAACTTCTCTTCAGAATCTCTAAAAGCACAGTGTCATCGGCAAAAAAGAAATTGTCACAATTCCCACTTTGTATTAAATTTTATGTATTTTAATCAAACACTTTTCCCCAATACCCTATTATTCACTTCTTTTAAAACCCTATTCATAAATATGTTAAACAACCTTGGTGACATTATGAATCATTGTCTAAGGCCTACTTTTACTGGAAAATCTCCCCCTTCCTTATACATACCTTAACCTGAGCCTCCCAATCCTCATTCCTAGACTTACATCTGCCACACTGCTCCCTATCCACCTTATCATATGACTTTACAAAAATCCAAAATGCAACAAAATCTATTACCCTTATCTAAATGCTGAATGAGACACTTGTACAACATTTAGGAATCTTAACCGAGGAAACATTTCACCAGCCAGTGGCTTCTTCAGTCCAATACAGAGAATAACAGTGGACGATGAGGAGTTTAAGGTAATCAGTCCCTCAACCTGGAGTTGAGGTGTTCGGTCCATCAATCTTGAGAAATATACAGCATATATGTGGAGAAGACGCTTACAGTATACTGAAGTCAGGCGGGTAGAAGCAGGAGGAAGCCGAGTCACCCTATAGGTTAAGCAAGCGTTGAGGAAATCCCTGTATCAAGATCAGTACGTACAGTGGGCCCCCAGTTTTCGTCCGGTCCGGACATAGTGCAATTCGGATTTCAACCACTTTTTTCAACAAATTTTTACCCTGGGTTTCATACATCCACTAGGAAATCATCCATACCAGACGCATCAGTCTGGGCCGCTCGTACATTTGTGATTTTTTTTTTTTTATCACACTGGCCGATTCCCACCAAGGCAGGGTGGCCCGAAAAAGAAGAACTTTCACCATCATTCACTCCATCACTGTCTTGCCAGAAGGGTGCTTTACACTACAGTTTTTAAACTGCAACATTAACACCCCTCCTTCAGAATACAGGCACTGTACTTCCCATCTCCAGGACTCAAGTCCGGCCTGCCGGTTTCCCTGAACCCCTTCATAAATGTTACTTTGCTCACACTCCAACAGCACGTCAAGTATTAAAAACCATTTGTCTCCATTCACTCCTATCA